GAATAGCTTTCCTTCAGCTCCCAATACTTTGCTCCAGCATGTGTTCCTCTCTGTCCAGTGATGTCACCCCAGTCGTCGGCCATCTCTGTCTTGAAATCTGTTGGTGAAGTGGTTTTGTAGCTAAACGGAAGCAAGATACGCACAAGGCTCTTGCTTCAACTGTAATGAGAAACTTGAACTGTGTCATCATCGTAAATACCTCTTCTAGTTGGAGCTTGATTCTTCCTCACCAGAGATTCATGAACCTGAGGAATTGAGCCAAGGAAATCTCCAGAAATTTCCTTGCATGTGATTTTGGGTTTCTGGTCCTCTGAAATGATGAAGTTTCGTGGGTATTTGGATGGCAAGCCCATTCTGCTCCTCATTGATTCTTGAAGCACTTACAGCTTCCTTGATTCCGATGATGCACCGATCTCCACCTTCCTGTTGAGACACAAAATGAATTGAACATTCTGGTGGCTAATGGGAAACGGGTGTGTTGAGCTGGAGTTTGCCGCACAGTCTCACTGAAGTTGGATAACACTTGTGGTTTCCCTTGATTTTCTTTTGATCTCCCTCACTGGCTTCATGCTGTTTTAGGGGGTTCAATTGGCTAGCACTTTCCGTCCAATCACTTCTAGTGGATGACTATGACTTTTTTATATAATGCAAATGGGTAATCTTTTAGGGCATTTCTGACTTGCAAAATTCCATCCTACCTCCCAAAGTTCTTTTCTCAACACTCATTCATGAATACAGAAACATGAACCTTCATCCCTTGAACTTAATACATCTCTTAAATCCTAAATTACAAAAAACTTGAACAACTTCTGATAATTGTCTCATTGAGCTGCCCGCATGACGGATATTCCATTAATCTTGAGCCTAGGTCAACAAATTTTCTACAAGTGAATCTAAATAGAGAACCTGTACTTATTTCACCAAGTTATCACTAAATCAAAGTCTCTACAAACCCAACAAGAATTTAAGATAAATCTTAACATTATCCTACCCATATCTTAGAGGAAGTAAATGATTCTGATGATTAAGTTGATTTTTATTTTCACCACATAGTAAATATGAAATTTGTGTGATTTTCTCTTATAGTTATTAAACTTGCAAAAACTTGCACCCCAAGGTTTATCTCAAAAACTTGCAACCATCTTCTTGCAGAGGGGATGATACCGTGATGGATGCTGTGGAATTTGTGTTACAAAATTTCACTGAAATGAATAAACTTTGGGTTCGAATGCAGCATCAGGTATATGGTTGATCTATAAAATAGTCAACCTGTTTGGACATGCATGGCACCACTGTACTTGCTACGAGTCATGAGAGCATGCTTTTTGGCCATGCAGGTCTTATGGTGCTTGTGAATCATTCATACTCATTGGTGAACCTGAGCTGAAGCCTCAATTGGGATTTCTGCTCTGCAGGGACCTGGTCGTGCCAGAGAGAAGCAGGAAAAGGAGAGGAGCGAGCTTCGTGATCTTGTAATGCCAATATCTGTAATTATTGTCATATCGAATGGTAGGTATAGACTTTTATGCAAAATAATATTTCTTCCCCCCTTGATTTTCTTGGTAGGTAGGGAAAAATCTCCACGTTCTTAGTCAGATAGAAGGTGTGGACCTTGAGATGTACAAAGACACTGTTCTTCCCAGAGTCTTAGAGCAGGTCTAATATTATGGTTCTTTTCCCTGAGTTTCCATAACTCGTTCCTTATGAAGTCACCTGCAGGATTATTGATTCTTCATAATTATCCTCATATTTTATTCACAATTGGCTTGTACAGGTTGTCAACTGTAAGGATGAACTTGCTCAATATTATCTGATGGATTGCATAATTCAGGTCTTTCCTGATGAATATCACTTGCAGACTCTTGAGACATTATTGGGTGCTTGTCCTCAGCTTCTGGTGGGTAACTTAGCATGCATATTTTTCTTTTGGAGATAGGCCCAGA